TTCTTTTGATAAGTGAAGTAAGCAGTAGTTTTTGTGTAGGCAAATCATGAAAAAACTCTGGAATGTGAATTTGTTGTCTGAAAAACCTTCTTTTGATAGGTGAAGTAAGCACTACTTTTTGTGTAGGCAAATCTCATAGTATTGAACAAAATATAAATTTAGTTTTGGAACCAAAATTTCAAAGGCTTTCATTGGGAATGCTGAAGTCCAGATTATTGATTGGATTCCACCATATTATTTTACTTTGTTGGATTTATTTAGAAACTGCCTTGAAATGGGAAAAAATTCAACTTCAACTTAATAACCTTAAAGCTGGAGCCAACATTTTTCTGCAGTGTTCAAGTCACTTTTCACTCAACATCTAACATTTATTCATCTGCAACAAAAAATTGTAAACACTAATTTAGCGCATCTGAAAATTACATTCCACTGCCCTATCTATTTTCTTGTTGCAGCCCTCCCTACAGCAGCAATGTGTTCATATTTCTTTTGTGCCTCACATTAATTTTTTAAAAACTTGGTTATTTGGTATCATTTTTTGTTTGCTTGAGAGGGAAAACAATTTTTAAAAATTCAAAGAGTTTCAAAAATTCATATGGTGCCAAAATTCAAGGAAAGCTGTTGCCTGCTTCAAGAAATCACAAAGAACATACCCTGGGTGGTCAGGGAGTTTTTTTTCTGCTTCCTATAACATTTTCAAAACATATGTTATTTAGTATCATTTTCTTTGGTTTTTTGAGAGGGTAAACAATTTTTAAAAATTAAAGAGTTTCAAAATTTTGTATTGCGCAAAATTTCATAGAAAGCCTCCACCTGTTCCAAGAAATCACAAAAGAAGCTGATCAGTTTGGGTGGTGCGTCAACCCAAGGACAAAGGGGATTAAAGGGCTTACCGGGTTTGGGATGGAATGCGCCTAGGTTCGATCTTCCTACTACCCCCCAAAAAAGGGTCCATCTTTCACAGGGCGTCTTTGACGGCAACTTTCTGCACCCGCTGACCTTATTCCCTCCCCATCCTTCGAGATTTTTCTGGTGAGGGGGGCAGGTGGGGTGCAGCTGCACCGGGTTTGTAACGGGGTCCCCGCGCGACAATAGCCCTGACACGAAATCCCCGCCAAGCCCACGCACAGCTGTAACAAAAGCCCGGAACTTTTTTTCAGGACTGGTAGTCTTTGGTAGTCAGTTTGGTAGTTGCCGCTGCTTAATCTTCATTACCACCAATTTTTGTAAGAAAATTTTCAAAAACGAACTTCCAACCTGCAAGGCAGAACGGAAATTTAAATATCTGCCAATAATCCATAATGTGGTAAAATGGATTCCTCCTATCTCATGC